ACACCCACATTTCATCACACTTACATCTCACTGCAACTGTCGTGGTTCTGATTGAGACTTCCGTTAGCTGTCATCATGCCTTGCCAACTTGTATATAAGACCATGTGTATATTGTAACTTTAGTTAGTCTGATGATGATTTTGTAATAAAATCGAAATATTACTCACTCACTTTCTTATTTGACTCATATTTTGGGTTTCAAGATGCTTATCTTCGGATTATGTTTTGTATTATATTTTTTGAAATTGTCGGCTGGTATTGGTTTTTAGGTCTTATATCTCCAGTCACCCTTCGATTCAAAGAAATGTTTCAAGAGTTGTGTAAGAGCAAAGTCGACTGGGATGAACCACTAAATGACGAATTCTGCGAAGAATGGAATAACATTGTCCAGAAATTGAAAGAAGCCAACAACATGAGTATCCCAAGAAGATGTTATTGTCCAGATTCGTTCGGTAGTGAAATAAAGTCAACTGAGTTGCATTCCTTTGGAGATGCGTCCGAAAGTTCTTACGGTGCGTGTGTCTACGTACGATGTGAACACTCAGAAGGTATTCATTGTGATCTAGTTGCTTCAAAAACAAGAGTGGCCCCAATGTCGAAGCAGACAATTCCTCGTTTGGAATTATTATCAAGTCTTCTAGCACCCCGGTTAACAGATAGCGTGAAGAAAGCCTTGAATGACGTTAAGAGAATCGATTCAGTCACCTATTGGTCTGATTCAACTGTAGTGCTTAGTTGGATACGAAATTCTAACAAAGAATTCAAACAATTTGTTGAAAACCGATTATTAGAGATAAGAAGACTGGGACCCCCCAAATTATGGAAGTATGTACCTACCAAACAAAACCCAGCAGACATTGCATCCCGAGGAACAACAGCAACCCAGCTTGTAGAAAACAAATTGTGGTGGAATGGTCCTGAATTTTTAATAAAGTCTAATGAACATTGGCCATCCCAACCTTCCAATCTCCAAGAGGACGATCCGAGTTAAAATCTCCGCGAGTAAGCGTTAATACATCAATCGTTAATGTTGCACAAATTCCAAATATCATGGAATTGATGGATACAGTATCTCTGAATACAGAACTATTGGAAGATTACTTCGAGTTACAGCGTATGTCTTACGTTTTATTAACAATCTCAAGAAACGCGTAGAGAATCTTGATACCACGGTTGACCAGATTACCTGTGAGGAAATCGACAGCGCAGAACTGAAATGGATTAAAGACATTCAGCATCCAATGTCCAAACAAGCAAATTATCGAAAAGTAAAGGAGTCCTTAAACTTGTTCGAAGGTAAAGGGAACATTATACGATGCCATGGACGAATACAAGAATCACGCTTACCTTATGATAAGAAATTCCCTATCCTTTTACCAAGTGACCACTATTTTACAAGATTAGTTGTTCTTCGAAGTCATGAACAAGTCATGCACAATGGAGATCGAGAAACCCTGACGCAAGTTCGATCCAAGTATTGGATAACAAAGGGTCGCCAAGTCGTGAAAAAGATCCTTTCGAAATGTACCATTTGTCGAAGATTAGAAGGCCCACCTTACGGGAACCCAGAAGCGCCGCCACTACCCGAGTTCCGTTTGAGCAACGATTTTGCCTTTTCCAAGATCGCCGTCGATTACGCAGGTCGAATGTACGTGAAGGACATATACAGTCAATCGAAAGATATGTACAAGGTTTACATATCCTTGTACACATGTTCAAGCAGTAGAGCCTTACATTTGGATTTAGTTCCAGACATGTCAAGCGAAGCATTCGTTAGAAGTTTAGAGCGATTCATTGGAAGACGTGGAATCCCCGCACTGATCATTTCAAACAATGGAAAAACATTTAAAGGTCAAGAAATTAGAGCTTTTATCGCCTCCAAGAACATTAAATGGCGACATATTGTGGAAAAATCCCCTTGGTGGGGAGGTTTTTATGAAAGAATGGTACGAAGTGTCTTGCGCAATGCTAGACTTACGAAGAACTTCTGACATTATTGATTCGAGTAGAAGGAGTTTTGAACTCTAGACCACTAACTTATGTATATCCAGATCAAGATGAACCATTAACACCGTCACACTTAGTGTTAGGTAAACGAATACTTACGGTTCCAGCGCAAGGAGAGTTCGACGTAGAAGACGAAGGAAGAAACGAACTGTTGAAGAGAGACAAGTATCTTAAGAATGTTCTTGAACATTTTTGGAAAAGATGGAAATCGGAGTATTTGACGCAGTTGCGCGAACATCATCAACCAAGAAAGAAAGAGGGCCCAGAAGTTAAAGTCGGAGATGTCGTTCTGATTCAGAAAGACAACGTTAAAAGATTAAATTGGCTCATCGCGGTGATAGAAAGTTTACTTAAAGGGAGAGACGGAAACGTTCGAGCTACAACAGTAAGAATGTTCAATAAAGCCGGAAAACTCGCGACAACTAGAAGAGCGGTACAGAGACTATATCCCGTTGAAGTGAAAGACAGCAAACTTGAACATGAAGATACAAATGAGTTTCCAATCACCTTTGTTGAAAGAGCAAATGCAGAAAACATGGACTGAAACTGTATGTACTGAAATAATTTAATTGTTTTTGTTTAGTTCTATTGATAGATATATTTCTGATCTGTCAAGGTGGGGAGTATGTATAATTATCGTGGAACGAGACAGTCTCGCGCGATACACGCGTGACGTAAAACACATGTTTTGAGAGTGCAGAGTTTGGATTTGAGAACAGAACTTGAAAATATTTAACACAACGTTTATTTATGTAAATTTGTTTCTTATTATTATTATTATTATTCAACGCTTTTTACGAGTGAAGATCTTAATTTACAACACTTTTGAGCGAAGAGAGGATTGGTGATTTGATAGTAGGTTGTTCCGCATTAGAAGCACTCTGTTGAAATAAAAGTTTCTGAAGGAGGATGCTTTGCATAAGTTAGGTCGGATAGCGTTGGCTGAGCTAAAGCGAGTCGGGTGATGAAGTGGTTGAACAACATAGTCCTCGAGCTTTAAGTCAAAATATCCTACTAAACATTTTCAAACCAGTACGATAATGGGATAAGGTTTAGTCTTTTCAGGCGTTTCACGTACTGTATGTTAAAGGGTATGAGCAACAAAAAATTTATTGTTTCATCTGAAAGAGCATGAAAAAATAAGCCGATTGGCCGTTTAATGCTCTATTCTATTTCATCTGGTTCCGAAGTTATACGCAAAAATGTGCAAAATATAAATTGCTGATTCAGCACAACGTGTGACGTCATTAGCTGGGTAAGTATATTTATTGAATAGTAAACTGAAGCATAGCTCAGTTATTATTGGCTCAAATCAAATGAAATTTTGCATA